GAATTCTAATTTTTGTACAAAGAGAGAAATTTGGATTTACATGTTTGTTAGACATACCATTTTGTCTCGGGGTGTACAATAAAGGAATACCTAGTATTATGTGTACCACACTAGGAATTCCTTTATTTTATTGGAAAACTGTTTCTGTAATGTACTGTAAAAAATGCTTTTATTTTTAAATGGAGAAACAGGATTTTTCGCGCAGTAATATCAGGGTTGGGCACAATGCACTAAAAAATGAATGCAATACGCTTTTCACTACCACTGTCTATTCAGTGATAGTTAAAATGCAGAATCCATTATCACTGAAAATTTTAGTGATAGTGAAAAAAATGCACTATCACTGAACATTTAGTGATAGTTAAAAACAAATTGCACTATCACTAAACCCTTAGTGACAGTGAAAAACAATTTGCACTACCACTTAATATTTAGTGATAGTGAAAACCTTTATTGATAATTAAAATTTTTCAGTAAAATGACATTGCTTTTGGCTGTAAACAAGCTTTATTGTTATGACATAGTTCTTCTTGAAGAATAAAGTAAGACTATATTAGCTGAAGCAGTGAAAAGAAATATATTCATAATAAACAATATTCTTGAGAAGAGACTTCTAATTATAGTACGTCGCTTCAAAAATATAAAAACATAATTCATTTTTTATTTGCCTTTTTAGTACTAACATTTCAAAGTTATGGTCAGAAAGATTTTGCCTTGTCGATCGATTGACAATCCCAGCAAAAGAAAAACGTCATTCCCCTGGCGCAGATGAAGGAAGAGGTGTATTATATTTTAAAAACATTTTTTTTTTATAGTAAGAAAGCGATGCAAAGCTTCAATGCTCCTATCCTCGTCATTCAGGTACAAAACTACTTCAGTTGCTATAGCTCCGCCATGGCAACATGTATACCGATTTTCATCCAAAAAAGCAAATTATTTACAAAACTTTTGCACGTTGGTTTCTTTTGATCAAATACCTATAAACTCCTCATCGAATTCGAGAAATAATGTATTAGCCCTTATCGAAGGCTGTAAATTATTATCTTCCCATACCGGTTGTCTTTTAAACTCCATCGCATATTCTTTAGATTTATCCCGAACTTCTTCTAGACTGTATGAATCAGCACCTTCCAGCAAAGTTTTGCAAAATTTTAGTTTGATATCGGGAATGAGAATTGCTGCAATAACTGCATCCCAAGAGTCAGAGTGACTAAACTAAAATATATTTCAAACCTTTGCATTAGCTTTGATTGCATTTGAATATTAGTTTCCGTCAAATATTTCAAGTTTTCGGAAGCTAAACGTCGCATTTTTATTTTGATGGACAGTAAAGTTGGAATAAAGTAACCAAAGAACATATTTTGTTCTCTTTGAAGGAAGTCGATAGCTTCTGCGATAGGTTGCATTACTTTTGCATATTCTTCCAAATACTCAACTTCTTCCTCATTGAAAGTAGAAATTTCCAGCTTATAGCATAGTTTCTTATATTAACTTCTGAACCGAATTGTACAATGAGTTCCATCTTGTAACGCAAGGCGTAACCAGATTCGAAGATATAACTGTTTTTATTATTTCCGCAGATTTCGGCCTATTACATTTATTCCATAATTTTGTACACCTGAGTTAGCAAAATGTTAAAAGATAATATATGTACATGTTATAGATTTAACCTTACTTCCTTAGAGTGTAATTTTTGATACTATTTTTTCGTTTATACTAAACTACCCTATAATAGGACCATATTTATATGCAAGGTACAATCTCTGAAAATTTGACTGAAAACTAACCAGTAGTTTTTGAGTTAAGTGCAATCATGGAAACGGCTATTATTTTACATATGTAGATAATATATTAAATTCACAGTAAAAAAAAGTTTTTAAATATGGTGTATGGCGCGGAGGCATGGACAAAGATAGCATCTGATGAAGCGCCTCTTGGGAGTTTTCGAGAGAAAGTTTCTGCGCAAGATTTACGGACCTTTACGCGTTAGCAATGGCGAATACCCGAGACGATTTAACGATGAGCTGTATGAGCTTTACAACGATATAGACATAGTGCAGCGAATTAAAATTCAGCGGCTCCGCTGGCTAGGTCATGTCGTTCGAATGGACAGAAACGCTCCAGCTCTGAAAGTATTCAACGCGGGTCGCGATGCTGGTAACAGTGGAAGGGGAAGGCCTCTTCTGTGAGTTTTTTCTAACTATCACTAAAGTTTTAGTGATAATGCAATTTGTTTTTCACTATCACTTAACCTTCAGTGATAGTGAAATTTTTTTTCACTATCACTAAATTTTCAGTGATAATGAATTCTGCATTTTAACTATCAGTGAATAAACAGTGATAGTGCAATTCAGTGGTAGTGCAAAAATGCCCAACCCTGAGTAATATACTGTTTTTTCCGAAAAAAGATATGAGCGTTAGCCATACTCGAAATACTGAGCGTTTTGTTCATTTTGTTAGTTAATCTTCACTTGCGATTTCAGACACAGCATGTCACGGGGATCCTTTTGCTAAACTTTACAGTCGGAAATGATACAAATTGTTCGAATCACGAAAGGACTTCAAATAATTATTCATCAAAACCCCAAGGTTATCAATTGCTAAGTGGTGGGTTTTGCAATAATTTAAATAAATTACATATACCGGTTTTGTTTGTAAAAAAAACCTTACCATTTTTTAGCAGTGCATGTTATGTATATTTTGAAGTATATATAATGAATGAAATTAAAAAGAATCGTAAAATTTCAAGAATTACGAAATGGCTGCCATATTCTGCATGCTATCTTTTTTTAATTGCGTGTTAAACTCTTGAAACTTCACAGATATGTTGTACAGTATTGGCCAATACAATAGCACCCCCATTTCAGAGTGATATTGTTTGCCACTAATGTTTATTTTTTAATTTGTAGGAATTTTCAATTGAAATACAGTTCTTTCTCAAACAAAACCCGTGTACATAAACCCTTGTTTAAAACTTTGTAGAAAACTACAAAAATATGCGAAAAATTGCCTGCCAAATTTCAAACTTTTTTCTCAGAAGTGTTAGAAATTTTTTCAGTAAACAGTTTTATAGCCCATTCAATGTTAGTCTAACAATGTTCAAGTTTCAAGTGGCTA